GCCACCAAAGTTGGGTGGCCGTGGCGGGGCTCGAACCTCAAAACATAGGGTCCAAAGCACGCCTGTGAAAGCAGCCGATTACCGACTCTATCATCAACTTTTGTAACACACCTTTAACTCTGGAAAAAGAATGGTTATGGTCTATTCTACGTTCCGATGTGATTTCGACTAAAATAATCAATCTCATGATGTCAATGTGGTATTCGATCGGAAGTGGACTCCATGCTTATTGGAAGAATAGTGAGAGTTGAATAAGGATGAACGCTTTCACCAGTGCTGTTCAATTATGCCATCAGATGAATAGTGGAACGGACCATCGAACACACATTGGGGTGGGGACAAATGATTAGTATGGTAGTCAATGCTAACTTTTCCACTTGGGTCAATTTACATGTTACATCCTGCCATAGTCTTCAAACTACACCGAAGTAGTTCAGGAGAATGAACCAGTCTTCAATATTTTGTGGAGGGAGAATAAGGTATAGGAATGGTAAGCGAATGGCGAACAATACGACTACGGTCGGTATCCAACCTCGGTCCAACTTCGATCGGTAGCGGGTATTCAGCGAAGCGATTAAAAGTTGAATCTACTCACGAGGTTTTACTCCTCAGGTGAGTTGAATCGCAGTTGGCCCAATTTTTGCTATCACTCGGTTTAGTGCCACCCACATCCACACTACTGGATCCGCATAGGGTTCGCAAATATGTACAAGTCACGGGGCTGCCGATCCCATTAATTGAACAATGGGTCCTTGTGATGATGGAATACAACTCGTCTATGGTTTTTTTTACTCTAGAACGTTTAATAAGGCTTTGTTGTGATGGGCGATCAGTTGAATTAACACGGTAAGTTCATGGAAAACATAATAATAAATTAGAAAGAGTACTTCAAAGCAAACTCCTGTTGGTGAAAACATCTCTAACCAGATTAAAATACCGGTGAATATGACAAAAGATAAATACTTACTGATCGAAATAATTTCTGGATAACAACTCACCTGTCCACATCCACTCCCTTGGCAAGTAAGTAAGCGATAATTGGCACACTGCCTATTTGAACTGCAACATGAATGCATGGAAGACCAGTATTGTCCTGAATGGTCGGATCTGCCCCGTGACGCATCAGCAGGTGCACCATGCTCAAATGGGATTGACGGATAGCCCAATGCAAGGGGGTCGCAGCCAAATGTCCTCCCAGTCTATCCACAAACGCTCCTTTGGACAGGAGATAGCGTACAATCGACATCCGGTTGTTGATTGCTGCCCAGTGAAGTAGGGACACACCCTCATCGTCCAGTTGATTCACATCGAAACCGGCACTGAGCAAGGAGCCGTCTGGGGCTAGTTTCGGTTCGACCAGGTCAACTACACGGGAAAGGATGCCATATTGAACTGCTTTGACAATTGGCCAATCAGAATAGTCCTCCTTGGATTCCGTCGGAGCAGTCTGGTGGCTCGGATCCACAGGATACAATGGTGCCGCCTGAAAGTCACAAACAGACTAGGTTTTTAGTGAAACTTAGTTGTTGTGAGCGGAAATGCCTACTCCAAGATGAACCCAAACTACTGCCGTTTGTGCTTCAATGGTACTCCTGTTAGCGGTGTGGTTTAGGTGTACCAGTTATCGGACAGATGCAAATTTCCAGACAACTAGCTGAAACGAGGACTATTAGCCAAAGAGGAGCATGAGCAGAGAAAGATTCATGATATGTTGTGGGATTCACGGTTGGTGTTCACGCATGCTCGATAACACCAAACTAGAGCGTGGAGGTCCCCAGCTAAGACCAATGCCTGAGCACGACGGGGTGACCTCTGTCTTCATTGATGTTATCCGTCAAAAAGCGTTACTGACGTAAGAAACTCTGGAATCGAACTTCTTACGGAAGAGCACATGAGACGCTCAACCGCTTGGCAGTCGAATCTGGTCTGTAAGACATGTGCGTTTTACTTTCAAAGTGAGATGTGCTGTTGTGCGACTATCATGTACCCATGTCCACCCCTTTTTAAGCAATTGTATTTTAGAAGTGATCGAAAGCTTTGTCTACTTTCTTAGTGGTACAACGATAAATGAACGTGAGGTGGAGATGTCTCAACACATCATCATCATCACTGTACAGCGCAATTCGGTGAAGGGAACTTCACAAATCGCTACCAAACTCATATTGCATACAAGGTAAGTGATAATGTGTAAGGAGGACGGATTGGATCTACTTTTAGGGCAGGGAAAAGAAAGCGAACCTCTATGATCAAGACACAGAGCACATAGTCCAACCGTGCATGCATACTATTTCAAGTATTCTGGTCTGATAAGAAGTAACGTCAAACGATCTTCTCGGTACGCAAGGAAACACAGGAAGTTCGGTTGAAACTCAGTGGAGCAGGTTGAAGTCATCGGTACAACAAGCTGTTCTACACACGTTAGGCACTAGACCTGGAGGACTGAAGGACTGGATATCCAACCACACCATCCAGTTAGCTAGTTCGGCCAGAGGCAGATCTAGCTTAATCCTCTGCTTATCGCGATCTCAGACGACAAGCAAAACGATCAGCCAGAAACGATAGATGCAACTACTGGAATGAAATGGCTACAAAATGGAGATCTCAGCCAACCTGGGGAACACAGTGACCCTCTTACGACTTATTCGATCAGCATCGAGCAAGAATCAGGCCACCCACTCTGTGCTGCGCAGCTCCTCCGGTGAGCTCATTTCTGATGCGCAGGGAAAAATGTCTCGGTGGGTGGAACACTTCAGTCTTCTTCTCAACCGCCGTCAAATCCAAATACCGTGTGCGCCCTCCTCGCCATCTTCTCCATACGAAGTTAACTGCCCTCCGCCGTCAGTAGAAGTCTCAGATATTATCAGCCATCTCAAACCACGGAAATCTCCCGGTGAGGACGGGATACCCCCCGAAATCTACGCGAAGTGTTCTTCAGCTATTTTAAACCCTCTTCATAGCTTGCTGTGTACAATCTGGGAAACCGAAATTTGCCCAATTGACTGGACCACATCGATTTTACTACCTTTCCCCAAAAAGGGTGACAAATCAGTGTGCGAAAACTAGAGGCATCAGCTTACTGGGGTCCCCGTTGATTGCATAATGGGTCGTCCGATGAAAGGATACCAGGGAGTTCAGATTTCTCCAAACTTATGGCTCACCGACTTAGAATTCGTGGATTATATTGTCGTCTTTGGCGAGGACATGTTCAACCTCCAAGTAATCGTTGACCGCATCAGTCGACAGGCCTCCGAGATCGGCCTAGGATTGAACACATCGAAAGCCAAAACCTATCCGACAGTTCCGATTCATCCGGAGAATGCTTTACTACTGAACGGTGAGCCGATCGAATCCGTCGAAAGCTTCAAATACTTGGAATCAACCATACTCCCCAACCGCCAAGCTAAAGACGAGATGCAAGTGTGCGTCGATGCTGCAAGAAGGGCGTTTTTACAGCTGAAGAATCCCCTTTGTTGTAGAAATGAAATCAGCCTCAAGACAAAAATCCAAGTTTCCTCCGCAGTAATCCGTCTTGCCTTGCTATACGGCTGCGAAACCTGGCCACTTAGAGTCGAAGACTGTCGCAGATTAGAAGTCTTCGATCACTGGTGTTTAAGAATCATCCTGGGAGTACGATGGAGGGATCAACTCTCAAATGAAGGGGTCAAAAATCGGTGTTTTGATCTCGTATGGCTGCGAACGCTAATAAAACGGCCGCGTCTACAATGGTTTGGTCACATTCTTCGTGAGTCCGACAACGACCTAACAAAAGCTGCTTTGGCACCTCCTCCCGGCCCGAATTGGCGCTGTCGACACGGTGGACAGCTGAAAACCTGGTTTGACACGGTACGAAAGGATACTGAAAACCTTGGTCCCCGTTCCGTCTACGGCGTTCGCCAATGGAAGTCAAGCTGAATCACAATCTGAGCT